CTTTTTCATTATCATTAACCAAGACATCGAGAGGTGGCGAGAAAGTTACTTGGTCCTGAAATTGAATGCAACTACGTACTCAGACGACTTTATTGTTGTTTAAGAAAACATGACATTCTTACTGACTTTTTATGCCCTCCACCATTTATGGTACAGAGTATATACAGTGCGGATGTATGTAGAATGACTTGAGAAAAACCCACATTTTATTAAACCGATCGACTTACAATAATTTTCTGAACCGATGTAATCATGTCTGTCCATTTATTCGTTTGAAATCTGACTATGTATTTTCTCTCCATCTCACAGATCGCAAATTTTGAATTATTGAGATATTGAAAGACGAACTCGATTACAAATGCCTTGCATCGAATAACTCTTGCTTTATTTTGAAATGCTCGAGGGATGAAAAGATGCGAATTTTTTTTCAAAACTTTTTGACGAAAATTGCTGAGTAGAAATATTTCACTGTATTAAATTGATGAGAAACATTTAGATCGGAGAAGCCGATATTTCTAATCCATTACTATAAAATCGTTCCTACAAAAATTTAACCCTTATATGACAAAACGTTCGATTGTTTATATGTCGCGTTGCGAATCAACTCATATTTATAGTTAAGGCATAAAAATGAAACGTGCCAAAATTGGACCACATAGGTCTATTAATTTTATGTCCCCATAGGTTTTGACAAGTTTTTACAACGAATTTCCCGCTTCACACGCTGTGAAGCTAACTGTTTTTTTTTTTTTTTTTTTTTTGAACGAGACCAGGCTAAGAAAAAAAATTGGTCGGATTTTCCTACTTTATATATTTGTATGTAAATGATTAATAATGGCAAAAAAAAAGATTTGTTTAAGCAAATTTTGGAATAAAACGATTTAAATATATATCGTCCTTTGTCAATTTTCATATGCTTTGCTATACTCATTGCGTATATGTGGATATTATGTCATCATTTACTTTGTTTCTTTATAATGGTAATCAAATTGATCTTTATTTTCGTATATATGCACGTAAATATACACATATGTAACAACTTTTGAAATAAATTTCACTTTTTTTTTTTATTTTTATAACATTGTGTGCGCTTAACGTGCCCTCATTGACTATTCAGCATATTAAGTATGTATGTACGCACCTTATCGGGTAAGTTGAAAATGGTACAGCATCCAATGCATGTATGCATGGGCAGGGGGGAGAGAAACAGAGAGAAAGAGAAGTTATACAGATTACGAGTAAACAACATATCACAACAGAAACCACATTATCAAGTTTACAGTGTGTGACGTCGTTGACCACTTTCTCTTACAACCAGCATCTGGTTGCGGTTTCAAAGAAACGCTTTAATACGTTAAATATCGAAAATGCTTATGATAAATTTATTCTCAGCCAAGATAAGCTATATAAGTATAATATAATTTTCAAATTTTACCATTGATTGTTCGGCGATAAAAAAATTTCTCTTTCGCGTTTGAATCGTTTCTCGTTTTAAAGAAAACTTATTTCCAAGCTTTTCCCTATATTTCCGATTAAGTCAATTGAAAAAGCAATAAATCATCTTAGCGATGCAATAGGAGTAGCGTGCGTTCGAAGCAAAAGGGTATCCGGAATTCGTGGCTAATCGCTTGTTAAAAAAAAAAAAAACAAAAACTATTTTAGTTTCAGTTAATGTTGTTTTCATTTCGATTTAAGGTATTACTTAAATTGAAACGAATTAAAAATAAATTGCAATTATTTAAACAAAAATTGTTAAAGTTTTCTATTTTATTTTAATGTGGAACAAATTTGAAATTACTTAATTTATGAAAACAATTAAATAATACGATAAAAACAAATTTTTTATTTAATGCAATAAAAGGAAAACCAACAGAGCAATTATATATGCGCCTTAAGTTAACTTATTTCGATGACTTGAACTTTTATCGCTTTTTTTTTTTTCTATTTGCTTATGTAAATAAAATGCAGTCTATTTGCATTTTAATCTAGCATGCTATGTAAGCGTAAGTAGTCGATACATACATTTTATGCATATATATATATAGATGGACAAAATTATTTGAAGACTATGCAACATCAAGTATCATGTTGCTGCATGTTCGGCATCACTGTTCCCGTGCAAAAAATGCGACGCGTTTGGGAATTGCACAATTTATGCCCCAAGTCTCTTGATACGCTCTCAGACTTCGAAAGAGAGCAAATCGTTCGTCTGAACGAACAGTTCGAAACAATTTTGACGAGTGAGCAAAGAGCGAGGAGTAGAATTTCATCGCCAACATCACTTAAGCAATTGTCTATTGTTTTGATACAACAACGCGACAACATTCCCTTGGAAACTGTTCCGACAATCTACGATTCTTTTCCGCGGAATATTTTCAACTCTTCTACAGGCAAATGGTGGACAAATATCTTATTAATAAATAAAACCTGTATATATGTCAGGTATACTTGTGCTGCTATGCTGTTGCCCTTCTAACATATCTAATGTAGATCATAATATATAAAGTATGTCAACATAACATATTTGAGAAGCGTATTTGATTACGCAAACAACATTAGCTACTAGTACAACAACAACAACAAATTAAACAACATTATCTAATGATTTTCCCTCTTAAGCTATTTAAAGTAAATGCGGTAAAGAAGAACTTGCCCAATTTTGATCAATTTTAGGACAGCGATTACGAAAGCCGATGAAAGAGCGAATGATATCAAATACGTTCTAGTCAGGCTATAAATGAGTGGAGAGATCTCTTCTTTACAGTTTTCTATGCGTTGCAATATTGTAAGAAAAAATTTAATAGAGCAAACAAACATGTGCATCCATATATACAGTAACTTATAAATATTCGTTTTTTTTTTCGTTTTTTGCCCCCTGAACAATTAAACCAAGTGCTTATATAACTTAATATGATCTTTGGATAAATTTAGAAAGTTTCGAAAAAGGTAATCATCATAATTTCAATAGACAGTCAGGCTGTGTAATTAAAAAACTCATTTTCAAATTTGAATGCATATGAAAAAAACTGAAACTGAATGCATGGACATTGTTGTACGGAAGGGAATCAATATAATTTAAATTTATTATAGTCTATGGGGTTATTAAGATAATAAGGAAAAAGTTTGCAGTGTTTCCCATTACGACGGCCTTGGATTGACGTAACCATACTATAGCTCATGCAAAAGGTGAAACGGACAAATTTGTTAAATCAATCCTAAATGATTGCGTCTAAGATTCTTGAAAAAATTTCGACCAAGACGATAACGCTTCGCGGATTTGTAAAAAAAATTATTATATTGAATTATTTGATAAATTGATTGCAATATTCATCAAAAGCACAGCCCACTCAAATCATTAGAAAGCGTAAGTATTGGCGTAAAGAGAAAGATTTCCATAAAGCAACTGCTAGTTATAGCTATAAGATGATGTAAATGAAATTCGAAAATGATTGGATTGATTTTCTACTTGCCCTGCACTACAATGGAAAGAAAGAATTCAAGATCAATGTTATTGCTTGCTCTAAATAAAGTTTTTGAGGGAGAAGAGACAGAAAAGTGGATTTCTATCCATTACAGGTAGTTTGTATATCTAGTTTATATGCAAATATACCTAAGCAGAGGTCGGCATATACACAATGCAGTTATCACGTTATTCTAGTTATTCTTTTTTTCTTTTCCTCGAAAAGCAAAGATAGATTTTGATTTCTTTTTCTCGGAAGTGAATTGCGAAATTTTTGTCATTTCGACTTACTAGAGAGAAGGCGCCGTTTTAAGATTTGCGAGGGCGAGAGGCGAATCGCGGTATTTCGAAGGAAAACCTATTTGCGTGTGAAAATACACATGGGATTGCATAAAACTCTTTCTAGCTGCGTGCCAGAGTCTATCTCTGTATGCCTTTTTTGTTGCATGACTTTTCGCGACCCAACAAAACTTTCGTATTCTATTTGTGTTATCGACGAACAATTTGGAAGGTATTATAAGCGGCGTGTCGAGTAGTAAGCAAATTTACTCTTCAATTCTCGGCCTGACGGCACAAAATTACTACCTTTCGTGTCTAACCGATGGTACGGCCTGTTCGGCATGCCATTAGGATTGACGATGATAACCAGTTATTCCTATATTGGCTGGGAGTAAAGTCCGGTTAAAGTCGGAAATAAAACGCGCTCCAGACTTAAAAATTCGTTACGCGCTATGGCGCTTCTTCTGAGAAGAAATTTAGCAAAATTTATAAACTTTCTCCGTAAAGTTTAACAATCGGTTCTTAAATTTTAGTTACGTAACAAAGCACGGTGCTGAAGAGTAATAAGCTTCTAGTATGTTAGTCACATGTAATGACATTTTCAAAAAAATTCTTATATGTTTAACAACAATGACAGATGTTTGAATTTTGCTGCTTGTAACACCATCTACAGACCAATTAATTGTGTTTTAAGTTCGATGCCATTATTCTAGAAAGGTAGAGTTCAAGATTAAGTGGCTTTTCTACACAAATCTCTGAAGTTGTCTAACTTGAGTTGAAGGAAGCCGTACAAAACGAGCTAATAAGTAATCTCATTAGGACAACCCTTTTAAGCTTTTAAGTTAATGATCGTAAAGTAATGTTAACACACTTGATCGTTTGAAGGCTGGTACTATCCAGCAATTGTATGAGTGTGTCAATGGTGTTATCATAAATGAGTTGAACCGAAGACTTATTGAGCGATGTCTTATCTTTATGCATTCAGTTCATTTATGCTAATCAATTGTATGGAGCCACACGTTAGGTAATCTAAGGAAGTGCAATCATTAGAAAATCGAAAGTTCATTCAACACATACTCATACGGATTGAAAACTCAAATCGCTTCGCAGTCTTATATTAATATTAAAGTCAATAATTTTTAGTTTACTTATTAAATGATTATCAAGTTATCTGTTATGTATTTCTATAGGCTATGTGTGAATATGTGGGGTAATATTGCAACTCTTTAAAACGGATTATTAATTAATAAAATTATCTTACCATTCTTGGTATTAGCATTTTTTGTACTATCAGCTCGTTCGCTCGTATCCTTGGAGGGCTTAGTGCTGACTGTTTGCATTACCATAAAAATAACGCCAAAATACAATAAATTTGCTTTTGGCCACATTTTCGTTTAGTTTAACACCGCGAGTCTATATATAACCTAATGGAAAAGCACAGAACAGTATTAAAATAACAATAGATTTTCAAATGTTTTTCTTTATATAAAAAATTCTTTAATTAATTTTGATTGAATTTTTATTTATTTTATCGCATTTTAACAACTTTTTAAGCGGTTACTGGGTCTGTGTGCAGAGTAAAGAACTAACTACTGACTGATACATTTAGTTTTTCTTTCTTTTTCTTTTTTCTTTTTTTCTCTCTCTCTGTTTTTTTTTTTTTTTTCATTTTTTGTTTTTGCATTACTGCACTGCACGCCAACAACATACTCGCATACGGATATTTGATATGGTTTTGCACAAGAAATCGTTTCGCATTGATTTGGTTTAGTTTTACTGTAAACTTTTTTCAGTTGATTAAAACATTAAAGCATTGTAGTTAGACATGTATGCTTGTGTACGAACGCTTGTACATATGTACATAAGTGTATTAACCAAAACTTTACGTGACTTTGAAAACTATTAGTGCAGAAATTAAGAAAAACAAGAGCAAAAAACGAAACTTTTTTTTTTTTTTTGGATCAATTTAATACAAATGCTGCAAAATGTCTCGATTGATTTGCAACAACAATAAACAATAATCGCGTGTTCAAAACACTATAATTCTTTTTTTTCTTTTTTTTTTTTTTTTTTTTATAGTTAGCTATGGTCAGTTTGTTAAGAAGTCTTGTATGTGCACACACTTTTCAGCATTAGTCGGGTAAATTATTTCACAAAAATTGCCATGAACGAGCAAAAAGACAAAAGAAAAAAAACAAAAAAAAAAAAAAAAACAAAAAAAAAAGGAAAAACACTTCAAAACATTTTGTGGCAATGATTTCTGATGTAATTAATTTATTTGCACATTTATTTACTATTAGAAGGACTGGAATTATGTGTATGCTTTTGCGTGGCCATATATATATATATATATATATATATATATATATATATATATAAACAATTTGTCTGAGAGTTAATTTCAAATTACATGGATGTTGAGAAACGTGTGAAAAACACTAATACGACTTTTTTTTTTTTTTGCCCCTTTAAAATATTTTATTAAAGAACGATTAAGAAAAAGTGTATTCGCGTAAGCAACCTGAACAGCTGTAGTATCAAATGAATTGTAAATCTATGCAAATGCAAATCTTTATGCAACAATGTATCTTTGACGACGTTGATGCCTTTAATACTAATTTTAGAATATTTAATAACTGTTTCCGAGAATACAAATGCGATTAGTAACCAAGCATGATCTTATCCAATTTCATAGTCTCTTCAACGAAACTCCGAAGCTAGACTAGTTATAGTAATGAACTGCAATGGTCCACGACTTTTAATTAAATAAAATAAAATGTTTTTAGAATTACGTGTCAAGAATTCTCAGGAAGTAAGATTGTTTCAAGAATGTTTTGCCATTAGTTAACTGTTAAGCAAAATATTTGAAGGCATCGCCCTATAGTGGAAAGCCAAAGATGCAAGATGCCTCTTGAAAGGAAACCCGTATATAATAATATATATATATATATATAGGTATTATTATTATTATATATATATATATATATATAGGTATTATCGTGAATGCGAAGATATTACGGTAGAAATAAAGTAAAAAAAAGAAAACCAGGACGTCCTTATCTTCCCGGGCGGGATGTAGAAATAGTTTAATACTGTGCAAGAATACCAGATAACATCTCGGTTTATATGGTACTGGAATAAAAGTACTTCAATTCACTTTCTTAAATTGTTAATAGAACCTAATGAAAAAATGAAGAATTTATTTATTTTTTTTTTTTTTTTGAGTTGTTTGTTCAAAATTGTAAATAAGTTTTTAATTTTATTTAGCCAGCAAGTATACGTTAAAAAGATAGAATGCCAAATATAGATTTTTTATATTAGCTTTCAGACCTGCCCAAGTTCCGATAACATGCGGACGAATGGACAGACTTGGAAGCGAGTTCCTACGAAAGCAAATGTAGGGGTGTGTTAAAATTGAAAATTCGAAATGACGTCAACCTGTGACGGTCAGTGCGGTAAGAGTCGCGTGTAGAAAGAAACGCTATATTGGAATGTGTAGGACGGCGTCGACAGAAAAGGTCTTGTATTCGTTCCAAATTTATAATTACTTACAATTAATCGGAGAGAATCTTGCAGTATTCAAGCACACATATGCATATACTATATAATCATAAGATGCGATCCTGTGGCATTTGGAGAAGAAATAACAATTTGGCTGAGTGATCAAAAATTAAAACCTGAAAGCACATTGTGCACAAGTAAACAGTCACTACATGATTAAATAGCAGGTGAATTTTTTAGAATTTTATACGAATTAATGGATATTTGATACAAAAACTAATACTCGTATATTTGTTCTCTTCAAGTCACCGCTATCCACATATGACATCAAGCTGCATGAACTTAACTAAATTTGATTTGAAATTTTCAAGCAAAAGGATGTGAAAAACACTTCAGGGTTGTGTACGTACACTCATATTGTTCGATTGCATTTTAAGATAAACATCAACAAAGTCAAGTTCTTAAGGAAGCTACCTCGACTGTGTATATGTATTTAGATTTAAGATTCAAGTTTAAAAGAATAAAATAAAAACAAGTTGATCTCAAGCTCTGTTAAGTATTAATAGATAAAATAAGAAGAAATATATATATATATTTTTTTTCTTTTTTCTACACTTTCACTTGCTATTTGTTGTTGCCAGTTGTTTGTAAAGAAAAAAGCAATAAATAATTAATTGTTTTGAAATATAAACGGAACTCTTCTGCTAATCAAATACACATAAATTATCATTTAATTAAAGAAGCGAAACAAAAGATGTTTTTACTTTTCTTTCGAACACATTATAATATGAAAAAAGAAAACAAAAAAAAAAAAAAAAAAACAATAAAAATAAAACAAAAAGTTTTCGTTGTTTTAAACATAGATTGCATAAGAGTTAAAAAGTTATGGTTAAATATCAATAACTAGCGGCGCAAGTAAACTTCCGCGCCTACAAAAAATTTCTTATGCGTTTCCTTTTAAGGCGATTACAACATTTTCTATAATTTTTCAATCATTTTCAAATCAAACAATCAATCTTTTTTCACTTGTTTCCCTTCTTTTCTTTTTTTTCTTTTTTTTTTTTAATTTTTATTATTATATCTTTTTCTTATGTATAAAATTATTACAATAATCACGCGCCAAATACGACCATCGGTTTGTCTATTTTATTGATTTTTTTTTTTTTTACTATTGTTTGTTTTCTGTTTTGTTTTGTTTTTTCTTATTTCTTTTTTTTTCTGTTTTTTATTTTTATTTTTTGCTATATATGAACCGTATCATCGACCCAAGTGCTTACCCTACGAACGTTGCAAACTATCTGAATAGTAGTTTATTGTTAGTAAGTCCATAAAACTACTTTGGCTTGACTGTACGTATGTATGTATGTATGCCTTCTCTCACATTATCATACGGTTTTCGTTACAATGCATGCAAAACTCTCTTAATGTTATGCTCTGCTTAAATAACAGTTTTTAGAGAGCTCTTGAGTTCATTCATTGCGAAGATCAGCTGTTTGATGGTATTTTTGTTTTTCAGTTTTTTTTTTTTTTTCTTTTTGCCTAATGTTTATATTTGCGCTTGTATTTTGTTTTTGTTTTTTTTTTTTTACGTTTTCGATTTTCTTTTTATTTTCAATATTTCAAGCGCCGGTTTGGTCAGCTGTTTCTTGCAAATGCCGGTAGTGGTCATGAAGTCTAAGTTAAACTGGTTTTTTTACACTTAATAATTTGTTTTTTGTTTTCATTTATTTCTTTTAGTGGTTTTCATTTTTTTTTTTTTTTTAACGCATCTTTATGTTCATGTATTTATATAAGTATTTATGTTTTAAACGCTTTTTTTTCTTTTTCTTTCTTTTTGTAGAGGAAGTAAAGTTAATAGAGTTTTTCAAATAATAACATTTCGTTTTTTTTTTTTTTTTTAAATTTCTTTATGTTATTAAAAACATTACATTTTCTACTTTTGCGTCTTGTGAAAAAAAGCGAAAAACGATTGGATAATCAATGACAACACTGCACACGAATGATTAGTTGTATCTTCAAACATCAAAATCAAAGCAAATAATAGGAAGTTTGTTGCTTAAGTCTTTTTCCTTTTACAATACATTACAATACCGTATGTTAGGGAGAGATATAACGTAAATAATGTATTGTTCAGTGCTTTTCATAACAAGCCAGAATTCGCGAGTTCAGGTCTCAGTGCGCTCGTTGCTATAGTGAGTCTTCACTCAGTAAGGCCACAACACGTACGGACTAGTCACAAAGAACTACTTGGCTGCGCCCACTTTTCTCTATCATTCCCTTTCTTCACTTCGTGTTCTTTCTAGCCGTCACCTTGGTACACGAATAAGGGACAACCACTAACAGCCAAGTACAGCCAAGTTTTATCAATCGAGAATCAGTTTCTGAATCAACTTATACTTATCTACCTGTCCGTTTAATGCTATATCGCCCTATTGCAAATAGTTGGATAAATTTTAAAACTTTAAATACGTTTTGGACTGAAGGTCAAGCCTATCGAAAGCAACTTGAATCGTATCAATGACTTGATACAAGAAACTTGCATCGTATGAGCTATTTTTTTGAGCCCTCATCCATGCAATCGTTGCAATGAAAAGTAACCCTTTATATAGCAAGACGATTTTTTAAGTTTAAATACTTCATGATGAATAATTTGACATAAGTCTGGGCACAATAAAATTTGGATCAAACAGATGTGTTTGTTTGGACGCTAAACCATATAAGATTTCTCATGAATTGAAATGAAATTCTTGACGAAAATCTCTTCATAACAGAATTTTGTAGTAAAATTTAACTGAATCAAATTGGGATCACATAGATTATATTTTTGCACTTCCTCATGCAAACTAAATCTTTAACTTACTTGTAACATTTACTTGTAACATTTTATTCTAAACCTTGGTTTGTATCAAATCTGAACTACGTAGGTCTACATTTTCAACAAAGTCCAAGGTATACCTTTTGATATTTTATTACGAAAACAAATCAAGAATTATACTACATAACTTGACCGACTTGGCCGACCGTACTGTTTTCACTTGTTTTAGTTTTAAAATGTTTTAGGTAAATTTTTAAACAGAATTTTTCTTTTTTTTTTTTCTTTTTTTTTTTTTCTTTTTTATTCTACTAACTATGCTCAAACCTGTGGTTAGCTTTGATTCCGTTTTAATAAAAAAGTGAAAAAGCAAGCTTATTACTCTAAGAAAAGCTGAATATTAATGTATCTACAATTTCGGAGATATGCTATGAGTTTGTTTACGCTGCACTTATCGTCAGATATAGTAAATGGTTGGCATAAAAATATCCGTCTAAGTAAACTAAATATAATTTCGTTCCTTTTATTTTGTGAGAAGAAAAGATCCTTACTTTTTCTTGTTATCCTAAATGTCAAGAGTGGGGAAAATTTATCGCATGCTTGTTTCATATTTCCCATGAAAATCAACAAGAGAAAAACAATACCTTCTATTTTTATAGGTAAACTCCCATGAAAGGAAAAAAATAAACCACTTTTTTTTCTTTCTTCTTTATAAAGACGACATAAACTGAATCGCTTTTTCCTTCATTTTCTGCATAGACGGCTATAAATTTTGCATGCGGTTGTAAAAGCCGCATATAGTAACGTCCACACCGCTGGATAATTGAAAATTCAATTCAAGCTGAAGATAATTTCTCTATTTTTTCTGTATGATATCGTTAAGTTTTCATGGGTAAGGAAGCCACACAGAAAATCTTAAAACGTTTCGCCATTTTGAGTAAAGTCCTTAGGTTTACCTTGCAATTAATTGTCATATATGTGTAAATTTTATATTCAACGCAATTTTTTTTTTCCATTCAGGTATTTGGAGAAAAATTAGTCCAAGGTAGTTCTAATTTTTCTTGTAAATTATTGCTGGAGAACAAAAATCCGTTGGATGAGTAGGAGAGCCTTTCGGCTGTGGAATCAACTAGAAAATATTTATATTTAATTTTAAGTCGATTTCTGTTTTACACTTTAAGCTGAAAACGATTACAAATCGATTTTCAAATATTAAATCGATTTAAATCGATTTGATCGATTCCTTAAGTTTGTATATATTCTTGCGCGAATTTTTTGATATCTAATGAGTGGGGCGTTTAGGCGTTTAAGACGTTGTCACTCCAGCTCATGCTCATGATCGGCAAATATTATCTAATAATATATATATATATATATATATATATATATATATATAATCCTCAAGTGTAGGGTTTTTCTCATTTTTAAAGCCGTGAGAATGTCAACAATAGATATCAAACGAGAGGAGAGAACGGCCAATGCGTCTCAAGCAACATAGCTTCTTATGCCTATTAAGAAGATGTACATTTGTTTGTGTTAAGTGCGAGTGTATCAGTGTAGTTCAAAATAGTAGTTCCGTAACAGAAACAATAGATTAAGTAACTGGTGAATAATGAAAGACTTAGCTTAACTCGAATATTTTTACTGTTTTACTGTTTTTGGTTTTTTAGTTGCTTTTTTTTACACATTTTTTGTTAATGTGTAGGTGTTTGTCCTTAAATATTATCTCAACTGATATCTTGATTTTTGTGTGTATTTGAGTTTTTCAGTTTAAAAATTTCGATATATTTTTTTTTTTTTCTTTTAAATTTAAGGAGTGTTTTTTGTTGTTATTACTTTCGTAATTGTTTCTATTCTTTGTCGTTTTCGTATGCTGGCGTTAAATTATGCTGGCTATGTTTTCCCTATGTTTGTGTGTTTCACTTGAAATTTAACACACAATAAACCAGCCAACTCAGCTGTCAATTTTGCCTTAGATTAGTGTCAATTGAAAACTGTAATCGATTTTCTGTCTTTTGTTTTTTTTTATTTTTTTTATTTTTTATCTTCTTGCGGTTTCTTAACCTTGGCTGCGAAATTCGGTATTGTTTTACAGAATTGCTTAGCAAAGATACTATTTGCCGATAAAACGTTAATGTTTTACAATTGATTTTGTCGCCCTTTTCAAAGAAAAATTGATTTATTATCATTACCTGAACTTCCACTGTACAATTTCACATCATCTGATGAGAAATGTATAATAAAAAAAGGGCTAAGCAAAGTGCGAGCGTTACACAAATACATTTGATATTGAAACATGGAAGTCTTAATCTATGGATCTTAGTTCTCATCAAAACTAAGAATTTATAAATCGTATTAACTCATAGATGACTTTCAACTCGCTAAGTATTAAGATCTGTTTTGCTTTCTTTCTCTAAATGTAACGATATGAGGCCTAGTCTTGGGATCAATTAAAAATATTAATTAGTTTTTCAAATCCATACGGTGCCGTGGCACTACTCAGGCGAACAGATTAAACTTTCAATACTACATTGTCAAAATGTAGGGTAAAAGTTTGATTCATAGTAAGCCAATTACAACAAATAATACTACGCCTGCTATCTAAAGTACAATATAAAATAGCATATGATGGCATTTTCTTAGCCACTACCGTATTAAGGTAACTATATCAAAATTCCGCTTCAAATGAAAATATTTTTAATTTTCCAGCTATTATATATTAAATCGGCATGATATCGGTACAAGAATTACAAATTTTTGTATAATACGGTCTTTATTCGGTTAAATTGAATAATTATGCGCTCTTCGGTCTTTATACGGTACAGTTTTTACATCAGTTTTGCTCTTAACACATACAAACGCTACTTCACACCGGCTCATTTAATTATTCATTCCTTTTCACACCAAAGCACCTATAACGCACCAAAGCTTATATCTTGATTCGAAATAAAGGCACACTTTTCATGACACCCCCATTA